CAAAGTCTTGCCATCTTTGCCTCTAAGGAGCACTCTGGCCTTACTTCTTCCAATACAGATCAGTTTGTCCTTGAAAGTACCTGAAGTACTGAAAGTACCATCAGGTACTTTCGATATTCTTCTCTAGCACAATTCAAATGCATCAGTTCTTCTACAATCTTCCATATTCAATGTACAACTGTCACATGCATATGATATAATGGAGACGACCACAGTTTTCATCAAGTGCACTGTGATAGGTAGGTTTATTGTGCCAACCTAACCAATGAACACATGTGGGATTAATTGAAGGGTGGAGAGATAAATGGCTCAGCGAACCTCGCCTTTCTTATCTCTTGCTCTTTCATGATCGGATCAGTGTGAGGCTGCCTTAGCTTGTTCTCAATTTGCAAGCTACACTACCTGTGGGACACCTAACCCTTGGACCGTGTCGCTGTAGTTTGGGGTTCTTTCAAGACCTGCTTCGCCATACATCATTTGAGCTGGGGACTGTGGGACCCTGTCATCTGGCTGACTGTTGGTGACCTGCCTTGCTGTTTGCTGCCTGTGGCCGGATAGACTGAATTGCTCTACAGAGGACTCCGCTGTCTGCTTCCTTGACTTGCATCCAACGGCCCTCAAAACTTGAAGGACTGCCAGTGTATTAGCTGTCTCATGGAAGTGAGTTTCACTGAGCCATTTGTACTGCTCTATAGATTAATTAGCTGTTTATTTCTTGTTTTATCTGTCTATATATAAAGATAAATAAAATCATAAGTGTCCTGGTTTTGTTTCTCTAGAGAACCCTGTCTAACATATGCACCTTAGTCCTCAAAGTAACATCCTTGCTCTTCAATACTCTAAAGAGGTCTAGCGCACCAGATTTACCTAATGCAATATGTCTTTTGATCTTTTGTTTGTGGATCTAAAATCCTTGACAACTTCAAACTTTTCTCCATTTATCATGATGTTACCTATTGGTCCAGTTATGAGGATTTTTGTCTTCATTACATTGAATTGTAATTCATACTGAAGGCTACAATCTTTGACCTTCATCAGCAAGTGCTTCAATTCTTTCTCACTTCCAGCAAGCAAGGTTGTGTCATCTGCCTATCACAGGTTGTTAATAAGCCTTCCCCCAATCCTGATGCTGCACTCTTTTCATATAATCCGACTTCCTTGCTGATTTGCTCAGCATGTAGTTTCAACATGTATGGTGAGAAGATACAACCCTGACACACACCTTTCCTGATTTTAAACCATGAAGGATTCTTGTGTTCATATAACTGCCTCTTGATCCATGTACATGTTCCTCCTGAGCACAATGAGCACAATGAGGTGTTTTGTAATTCCCATTCTTCTCAAGGTTATGCACAGTTGATTATGGCCCACACAGTTGTATGCCTTTGCATAGTCAATGAAGCACAAGTAATCATCTTTCTGGTAGTCTCTGCTTTGAGCCAAGATCCATCTGACATCAGGAATGATATCCCTTGTCCCACGCCCTCCTCTGAATCCAGCCTGAACTTCTGGTGGCTCCCGGTAAATGATAATCACTCCAACCAACTCACCGCCATGGAGTTGAACGATCCTACAGGACAGAGTAGAATCGCCCCTTGTGGGTTTCCCAGACTGTAAATCTTTATAGGATAGAATGCCTCATCTTTCTCCGGCCGAACCGGCTATGGTTTGGAACTGTTGATGTTGCAGTTTGCAGCCTAACTCATAACCACTGTGCCTATAGGACTCCTTACGACCTCACTGGGGCTCTATAAATGATGCCAGGGATCTGGAGACAGCACATCTTTGTTAAAGATGACTTTACCAGCTATCTTACGGATTGTTGTTTGCAATTTTAAAGTTTTAAAGGAATACTTACCTTTTTCTAAAGGCATAGCTAAAACTGAGTTTGTGAAAGCATTTATAGACAGTTAGCTATAGATACAGATCGGGGGAGGTCAATTTACTTATTTTTGTAAATATCGGCAGTTTACCAATCAGATTCTTGATATAATGGTGACAATTCTAATGAACTCTTAGAAGATGGGACACACATACATTCCAATGGTCTCTTCTACCTTACGAGACATCCACGATTGGAATTACCCTTGATGGAATCAGGAGTTTCCTGAGGCCTGGGAGTGGCCATCACTCAGTTGTACAGAGAAGAGATTCCAGCTGGTGTGTTTGGTCCCAATTGCCCTCCCTTCCCTGATTGCTCCCACAGCCATCACCCTCACATTTCTTGGGAGTCTGTGATGTTGGTGCTTCTAGTCTACCCCAATCCATGCCAACGCCATGCACAAGGGGCTCAGCCTGTTGTGACCCATCAGATTTCCACTGCCTCGTGTTTGGAGTGCATCACAGGCCCTTCCTTGTCTGTTTCAGTCTGGGAGCGTCACAGCAGCACACAGACCTCCACTGACAGATGGGAGGTGGCTGCCCTTGAGGAGCATTGGCCATGGAGGAAACCTGGGTCTCCCATATAGAAGGCAAAGCATTCTACCACTGAGCAACAATTCCACACATCGTTTTACCAGGAAGAAAGGGAAATTAGGAAAGAAGTGGGCAAGAGGGAAGATTGTTGGAAGGGAGTTCCAGGAGCCTCTGGCAGTCTGGCAGCCCTGTCTCCAGGTTTCTGGAGCAAAAGGAGATGAAGGGTCTCACAGTTAACAGACTTTGAAGTGGACACATACAAAGTGAAGTTACATCCATGAGACTCCACATCGGGCTTTGGTCATTTGTAAGTTTGAACGCATACCCTTTTTGGAAAACAAATCATCTGTTTAAGTAGGCTATGGCTTCCGGGGCCACAATTTGTTTTGCCTTCTATTTTATAAGCAAAGTATGATTGCGACCGACCTCCTGCCTCTTGCAAAGAGTCCTGGTGGTGTAGTGGTTGGGTGGCTAACCGCAAGGTCAGCCATTTGAAACCACTAGCCCAGGGGTCCTCAAACTATGGCCTGCGGGCCACATGCGGCCTACCAAGGATATTTATCCAGGCCGCCTGGTGTTTTTGCCCTGTTTTTTTAACTTCAAAATAAGATATGTGCAGTGTGCATAGGAATTTGTTGATAGTCGGTTTTTTTAAAAACTATAGTCCAGCCCTCCAACAGGTCTGAGGGACAGTGACCTGGCCCCCTGTTTTAAAAGTTTGAGGACTAGCCACTCTGCGAGAGAAAGAAGAGTCGCTCTACTCCCGTAAAGAGTGACAGGTTCATAAACCCACAGAAGCAGTTCTACGCCTTCCTGCAGGGTCACACTCTGAGTCACAATGCACTGGATGACAATGAGCTTGTTTCTTGGCTTTTCTGATTCGCTTAGGGTCCCACCTCACCACAGCTCCCTCCTCAGATTCTCTTTACTCTATCACAGATGTCAAAACCAAAGGAAAGGGCTCAGTCATGCCTATAAGAATCCCACTGTTGATTCCTACTGTCTTC